TGGTTCAGGGCATATACATCGAGTTCACAAAAAGCCAGCCATCACCACCACACAACGGAATCTCCTCAGTGGCCTTCCGATCCACTATGGGGCGAGTTTTTCGAGAAAGTGAGTTATTGATTTGTATTGATTGGCATGTTCGTGTTTTCTAGACAGTAGTGGGGAGCTCTTGATACTGTATTTTTCTAGGTGGGACGCGGTGAAAACCCAATTTGGCCTACAGTAACCCGAGGCGAGAGACTCTCCCTGGACGGTGATAATCGTCGACATGAGTATGAAGCGTTGGCGTTGGGCGACGAGATAGATTTTCAGATCCATGAGATTGGAGACGGTAGGTTACAGATGGGATAAATCAATAATTGATTGGCAACTTGACAAGCTTTAAAATTCAATGCTCTTGTAATTTCAGTGGAAAGCCTTTTCTCGTCAGGACCACGTCCATCAATTACGTTGGCTCTGATACTCATAGCTGGATTGATCTTTGCCTAAACCTTTATCCTGCCTGACTGATGCCGTATGGGCGACATCACTGTGGAGCGGGTGAACCAGACGGGTAGAATCCGAGGACGTGACGCATTATTACGGACCGCGGATAGATTTTTGACGACCGACTGTGATGTATTGTAACTTTCTGTTGTTGCTCTAATTAATGTACATATTGTTCAGATTAATAAATTTTAATATTTATCGATTTATGATACTTGTACGCTCTTTGGAAATATCCCTCCTGGGCCACCTAATTGGCGCGATTCGGCTTGATGGGGCATTTTATCAGTTCCCATCAATCACCGCCGCTGCTTTCTTTGGAGGCCTGCCAGCTCCTGTAAAGCTAGGCTATAGAAGAGCTTCGTTTACATTTGCCAAGAATCTTCAGGTATGTTGTGTACTTTAACAGGAACCAGATACAGTGCAGAATGTCCCCCCCCCAAGCCGAACAGCGCTACCTAGCCCTTCTTATTTCTCCAGAGAAAGTAATTATATCCAGGATGTCGCAGGAGGCACCATGGCGTCGTCTTAACTGAAAGGGACCTTGTTGTGGGGCTATGTCGAACAAGTCCAATGGAGGTCGAATGCATGGCGCACCCTCAAGGAAAAGGTTAACCACGTCATCCTTTCGATATTAATTTTCCGAGGGGGGATGGATTTTCAAATCGACGGGAGACCGGTGGTACCGAGCTGTCCGAGTTGAGTGATTGATCATTGCGCTGCTGTATGTCGATAAATTTTAGTTTAATCATTCATAGCTCCGCCCCTGACCGTGACGACATTTTCGTGACGAATGGTGATTGTCGTAAAATTGAGATGATCTGGCGCAGCTTCTACAGAAAAATGGGTCATCTATGAATTGGTGGATTGGTATTAAGCAAATGTCAGGATAAGCTACTTTGTGAGCGCATTTTGTCCCAAACGAATGCTACATCGGCACCAAAACAGGTCGTCGCCATACTGTGCCATGGGGACTCAAGCAACACAAGCAATGCTTGTGAAAAACCTGCCTGTGAGCTTTCTAGCAGGTCATTTCTACCGGCTTGAAAAGGGGGGGTAGGGGGGCTCGATGCAGATAGTACTGATGGTTAAGAGTTCATAAATCGCACGTATAATGTACCCAGCCCTCATAAACCGCCCCAGAAACGGAATAAGCGATAGTCGAGTGGGCGGAGATTGAAACAAAAGCACAATAGAGCCTTCGATGATTAATCCATTTTTGGGATGCACCGCGCATTCTACATCCATTCAGAATCGTAGTGGCTTATTGACTGACCTACACACAGACTTGCGAGGGTCAGCCGATGTGCAAGTCAATATTCCCATCCTCCCATCCACCCAGATGATTCTGGTACTCTGGTACCAACTTGCTCCGAGGGTAGAAGGCCTGGTTAGCCTGGCAAGAAGTCGACCGAAACAACCAAAAATAAAAATAAAAAGATTTAAAATACAAATTATAAAAATAATCAAGAAGTTTACATAGGTAATCTACTCTTGTTTATTTGCTATACTTTCGTCAAGAATGCACCTATTATTATATACGGCCAAAAACATTTGCCGCACCTCACACTTCGTTAACTGTGTAGAGCCATGGCTCCAGACTGACTCCAGATAAGAACTCTACGACCGTACAAGTGACGATTTTCATGCTTTTTCGTCCTGCAGCTTCGTTTTCCACTGAAAGAAGTTTGCAGATCTGCAGCACACAGTGGTTTCATTTACGGCAATATAGATATCCTAGAAGCCCCATGGAATTGACGGAAATCTCATCTGGTGCACAACAGAGCCCATACTCTGTGCAATTAGTAGTTATGAAGAGCTACCGACTTCAGGGAAGCCATCCAATCCAGTAACGGCAACTACTTCTATTCCTATTCGTATCAGTAATTGTGAAGGGAGTCTTCGCCGTTGATCCGTCCCTTTTTGGGATGCGGCAGACATTCTGCTTCCATTTAGATTCATAGCGGCTTATAGAATGCGATGTGGCCTATGCAATGACTTGCAGGGCCAATTCGTGTTTTCCTAGGCTAGTCTGGTACCGATCCGCCGCCGCAGGGTGGAAAGGCTTGATTGGTTTGGAGGGGGGGGAGATCCGGGATTTGATCCCTGGACCGCGTGCGTGGTGAACCTTGCGTCGGTTACAGTGGATACTCGTACCAGTGTGGTGAGCCTTTGACTAATTATGGCCTTTTATAGAGTTCCTGGTGAAATATTAACTTGGAGAGAAGCCTTTTCAAATCCAACACATAAATAACTCTTCCACCCTTCGATTTGCTGTTTCCAGGGCAAGATGTATGGTCGCGTGAGGATGGTGGGTATCGCGTGTCGATGATACGGTGATCATCGTCGAGACATCGACGAGATAATCATCACCTTGGCGCATGCCTCGGCCTGCCGGCCCAGTGCTCTGTCAACCGGAATATCGCCGTTCACATATGGAGATATTGGGACAATGAGGTGACGATAAGGGAGGGCACCTGGTATTAGCTTGAAATTCAACCTGCTCATTTCAAAAGGGGAAAGGAGGGGGAGTACAGGATGAACACTAAATCCAGCTGTTCTCATAGAGTGAATGATTAGTGCTGGACGAGTAGAAGGAGAAGACCGGCTATTCAAGCCTACCACTCAGTGGAAGCTATGAACTCGACTTCACCTGGAATTGGGATTTGGACTTCTGAGGGTTTTTCAGAGGTCAGCAGGGAGCAGCAGGCCAAGTGAGTATCACCTTGTAATGGACAAATGCTGGCTTTCCTAGGCCCGACCCGTTCTTACGGACCATGGGAGTACTAAGTCTCAGCTCGCATTTTCTGGCCAGCTATCCCCGAGTAGTGGGATTTTGGACTGGAAGAATGTGGAGTGAA